TCAATGATGAACAATTAATATATATGTTAACATTCGTTTTCTTGAAATCGTATTAATGGGGCTCGTTACTTAATGTGACAAATTATAGACGATTGTGGTCAGTGGAATTAGAGTGATTTATAACAATTGAATATGATTACTATTGCTATACCATATTTTTATCAAAAACTATCGTTAAATCTGTAGACACAACTATAACCACTTATAAGAAAAGACGAAGCTTTTAAAACTCTTCCATTGTAAGTGTGGGACAATAGACCAAAGTCACTGTCAAAGACCAAGCGGTCACCGGTGACCGCAACCTATTGTTCAATAATTGTGTCTACAAAACCGGTACTCGACGAGTTAATAATTACCTACTGATAAGGTCTTAAGAAAACATCAAAAAATTTCTTACTAACCCCTATGGATGCTTCACTTGTCCGAAATAAACATTATTTTATTTTATTTATTTAAAAATAATGCCACTTTCAGCTCCTAGTACTAAAACAATAGAGGACTAGTGCTTTGTTAGCGTGGGACACTAGACTAAAGTCTTATCAGGTAGTTCACAGAAAAGTAAAGTACATTTTCTACCAGTGTGACCTTTGGGTGATGCAGAGATGAGTTAATGGTAGGTGCAAGAGGCTAGGAATGATTTTATTTAACAAAAGGGAGATAAACTTTGGATTAGATAAGATTAGGGTAAAGAGCAACTGTTTATAACAGAGATTATTTATTTTAATAATTTGAATTTGGGTAACCAACAGTTATAACACTAATAAGAACAATTGAGGATATGCAAATACAAAGTCAATGATAGGTTTCCACGGCTAGCTACAGGACTTATATCTTTGTAGAGGTTTTGCGAATGCAATGCACAATATTTATCGGCAACATGGGTTACAGAAACGAAAAGGCTTTCAATAATATCTTGAAGGACACTGAAAATAAACGCAGCAGTGGTGACGTTGTGCAAAAATTCGTTACACGCACCGGTGACCGGTTTGGACGTAGCCGCGTCAGAAGCCTGTTGCATCCAAGACGTCATAATGGTGTAACTGGCCTGTTCAAGGACTTTAGTCACTTGGTCCAAGTCAGTAAAATTACTTCAACCACGAGCAATCCCACTAAGCCGACGATAATGGAAGTAAGGGAAGGTGTTACTTTGATGGGGTCAGTAATGGACAAAATTAGTAGAGAAAATAGAAATAGACGTAAAGCTGATGATGAATCTTGTGGCAGTTCTGCTCATAGCTGTGATCATGGAGGAATTGAAGGCGATCCTAGAGAGAGCCCTGAACTATCAAATGAAGAACTTTTGACACACATTAGGCTACTACGTGAAAAGGATAAAATACTGCTTTACAATGTACAGCAGTTTAGATACGACCTTGGGGGTCTATCCATTTTAACTACGAAGGAGAAATCGGATGAAAAGAAAATAAAAGTCTATTTGCGGGGCCACAATATGGTTCGTCGATGAAAATGAGTTGATAGAACAGTTTTTGTTGTCCACCAATTTTGTTCCCGAATATAGTGGCGTGCTATGAACTTCCATATTTATATGCCTCTAGAGTTCTTGTTTCCTAATTGTTAAATAGAAAAAAAAAGTATTTACTCTATAGGCATCATAAAAGATCCATTATTAGTTTTGATTAGTATTTCATGAGTAATAATTTTTTTTAAAGTTAATCGAAATGGAGTCAAGCTACAATTTACAGCAACAAATTGCTATCAATTAATAAAAGACCTTACATCATTACAATCTAAGCTGCTCGAAGTCACAAAGCAGTTTCTGCCTCTTCAGAGCTGTAGCTGCCATTGCCACCGTCTCTGATCATATTTTCTTAATTTACCTGACCCATTGCTGACGTTGCCATTGGCTCAGTTCTGATGCTTGAGACGACATTTCTTCGATTCAGTTCATCAAAATTATTACTTGTGTTGTTAACAAGTTTCAACGCGTTGGTAACATGGCTCGCTGAGTGCTTTGTAGGTTTCGTTATACCACCATTCCTTGCACGCGATATGTTCTTAATGCGGCCACGTCTAAATCTATCACCGGCTACTTTTCCAGGACTGTCTCCAAGTCTTCCAGATATAACTTTACGCTCAGCGTCACCATCACTGGGAGTATCTTCGATATACTTTGTGATACTATCTAAATTTATTTCAGTTTCGTCAAAAATTTTGCTATTAAATGTCACTGGAAGTACGACGAGTCAAGCACTAACTAAATGTCTCACCAGATCATTTTTATATAGCAAAATATACTTAATGCAACGCCAATTGCTACAATTCTTAAATACCTCTTTCGCTTCCTCAACAGTCATCAGTCATACATGCTTGTCGGTTAGGAGTACTTTTGGCCTCATTTCGTAAGATGTTTGTGTTGTCACAACTAATACTTCGTTACAAGGGTTTTGATACTGTTTCATTGTAAGTGTAGGACAATAGACCAAAATCTTATTAGGTAGTTCGCAGAAAGGTAAACGACAAATCGGCTCTCGAGTTGGAAGTTTGGCAACGCCGAGAAAATGAATATGGTAAATGCATTTTTTTTATTAGGTATACCAATAACTTACTACTTATAATATCTTATAGAGAGGGTATCCCTATATTGTCTTCGTTATTTGTCGTCGCACACAATATAAAATTATCAAAAATTTTACGGCAATTCCGTAGTTAAAAGTAGGTAAATGGAAATATGACCACGTCTTCGCCGGAATGTTCATATTCCTTGACTTTTTACTACATAGTATTTAATTTTGCGACTCCTTTTTATAAAAGCGTTGAAATTACTTTGGCGACGCACATTCAAAGCTTTTGAGGTCACCGAAAAGTCTTAAATCACAAAGGTACCGAAATCATTTGGAATCAGTGGGATGCAAGGCATGAGAACTGTTTGACTAACTGGTGGACCAGTCAATACTATAGCAATGATCAGGTTGTGAAAAAATTGACTTGAAGTCGTGTCCCGTTATAGAAATTTGGAGGTTATAGAGATTTGGATTTTTAGTAAAAAAAATATTCTGTCACCTATTTTTACCTTCAGTGGATGTGTTTTGGGGGGTTGGTTTCCTATACATACTTTTACCAACCCAACCCACATTGAGCAAACGTGGTGAATAATGTCCAAATTTTTTCCTTGTGGGAAAAGGCTTGTGGTCACCAGTGGCTACATGTTCATACATGACTGTTGATGATGATACATAGTCTTATGGTAGTATCGGGATACATGGGGCCTAACAAACTAACATAATTCTCTAATAGGAAAAAAACAAATATTTAAGAGTAGGCCAGAATTAAACATTATAAGAAACTAAAATAAAAATAAGTTTGTTTCGAAGTTTTAATAATTGTTAGTTAGCTCCATGGTAAGTTGGTTACGTTTTTGACCACATCTGTAAAATAGAAACTGTCATATAAACTAGTGTTTATCGACGAATTATTTTGTGGCCCTGAAAAGGGCCTTTTGGTTTCTTTTTATTTAATTCCTCCTTCACTGTCAAAACGGATAAATCCTTAGGTCATACCTAAACTCCTTAACATCTTGAAGCAGCGTTTTGCTCTTCGCACGCACTTCTCTGATATGTGCAAGAAGTGCTTCATGTGCTTGCTCAGGACTCTCTGTGTGGCCTCCTTCATCTCCTCCACAGTTTCGAGTAGAACTACCAGAGATTATCATGGGTTTTTTAGGACTGGTAGTGGTTGATGAAATGGCACTGTCTTGCACCAAATAACAAGAGTCCTTGATCAGACCATCTTTAGTTCGACCATTGAGAGCTCTTGTACGCAACATGTTCCTCACGCAGCCACGTCTGAACCGGTCACCGGCGCGTGCTCCAAAACCACTTCCAGGCTTTTTCGTTGGGACGAATTTACGTCCAACGCCACCACCACTGCGCGTGTTCTCGGTATCCTTCAAGATGTTGTCGAAAACCATTTCCATTTCGTAATTCATGTTTTGCAGTTAGTAGATACTTGCACCAGGGACAGTCGAAGTTACTGTGATACACACTCAGCTACTGACTGGACAGCAATAACTGAGTAACGACTAAGATTTCATTTATATACCCACTGTGACAAAGGATCATGTTGTAGTGGGTAGTGCCACCGTGGGAACTATAAAACAATGCATGTCAAAAGTAGCCCTTTTATTGTTTTGACCATTGTCTTTAAAACTATTTTAAAATAAGTTTGCTTCCGAGAATTAGATTGCTGTAGGTATATTTATTTTATTAGAGGTATATGTCCTTACAGTGTCTTGATATGTATGATATTTATAGTATGACATTTTTAAAAGTAAAATAAATGTAAATATTTGTTATCGATGTCGGAACCCAAATACCTATATTTTGTTCTTATGCTCCGTCCATATAATAAAACTAGTGTAGCAAATCTCGGTACAAACTTTTTTTAAATAGAGGTCAGGCAAACAAACTATGGGTGACACTAGGTTTCTTTTAGGCTAGGATTATTTCAAAACATGTTGTTTGCCAATGGAAAAACCAAGCTAGAATCTTCACCGCTACAAACTGTAAACTTCCCATTATATAACTGTGATCTTGAAGCCAACTGCATGGATAAAGGTAAAGCATGACTAAGGGAATAACTAGAGCAAAGACAGAATTGCCTTTACATGGATCATTCGAAATGAATTCAAGTAATTCAAATGAACACATCTTTGAATGTTCCAAATAGAAATTTTCCGTCATTCTGTCTGTCAGTGAAATTAGGTGCTTGTTCAAAAATGTAGATTCATACAGTCAGTAGAGCTGATACCCTACTCGGAGCTGCGGACAATTTAGCAGATTTAGGAACGGGATGGTGTTTGGTCAGTAAGAGTCTGACACTCTCTATCACCCAAGGTAGGAGAAGTCATTGTATGATTTTTCCCTGTCATATAAAAAGCATGAGGATTACGGCGAACCTTTTCTCAAGAAGAAGTTCTTTATTCAGTAGTAGATGTATCCTGGCTGATGATAGTTTCATTATGACTTGGCATCCTTATCTAGATCGAGTGTCCCTGGGTTGGACGGCGTTGCTGGGCGCGCTGCTGCTGCTGACTTTGGCAGACCGCGAGGATTTGGAGCCGGTACTACACAGGATCGAGTGGTCCACTCTGCTTTTCTTCGCCGCGCTCTTTGTGCTTATGGAGGTATAGAACTATTGATGTTTACACGAGTTTCCTGCTGTGAACTGCTAAGACTATGTATTATCCAGAAGGATACATCTTGGGTGTCTACAAACAAGTCTCAATGTTAAGTCAAGTTCATTTCAGCAAGTGAGCTCCATCTTTGGCTTGCGGCATTGTCTGACTACTGTCACGCCTGGTGGTTAGCGATGATGCGGCTTACCATAGAGTACGCCTACCTATAAATAACCATTTAACTCGAAATCTGAAGACTCCCATGGATCCCATTTAACGGTTTTACATAATTGTTAAAAAAAACTAATATATTAGTTTTATATCTCTTTAACTGACTTCATTGTTTCAGGCTTTGTCCAAATTAGGGCTGATTGGTTACATCGGAGGCTGGACAGAAGCTTTAATACTTCGAGTAGATGAAAGTGATCGATTGGCTGTAGCCCTTATAATAATGGTCTGGGTAAGTTAAGAATCATCATCTAATACTTGCTACGGATGTCCGCAGCGTTTGCTACGGAAGTTCGTAGCGCATTTTACGAAATTTCGTAGCTACTGCTACGTGATATCGTAGCGGAGGTAAAACTAGATATTGTTTCCTGTAGTATGAACTTCTCCAATATGACGCCCGGCTCTATTGTGTAAAATTATCATCACTAGTATGTGAGTCCACTGCTGGACTGTGGAGCTCCTTTAACAAAAAAGTAGTTTGCCAAAATCTTCACTCTTGACAAATTGGTTGAAGATCGTAACATAAAAAGTTTTGGGTTTATCAGAGAATATTGCTGTTCAGTCTCTGTGTTAGTCTCTTTGTCGAATCTTGGTGTTATCAGTTATAAAGGTTTTTATTCTCCCGCAGGTATCTGGTATAACATCAGCGTTTGTGGACAACGTACCTCTGACTACTATGATGGTTCGAGTTGTGACGTCATTGGGCACCCATCCTACGCTTAACCTGCCCATGGAACCGCTTATATGGGCGTTATCCTTCGGCGTCTGTTTGGGAGGCGAGTTTTTATACAACTTTATAACTGGGGAATGCGTCGCTCACGATTGATCTGAAATCTTTGTATTCAAAAGTTGAGCCATGGAATACTTTAATATGGGTTTGCCCTCATAAGTTATCTACCACCAATCAATCGGTTAAATTCTAGGCATTAGTTCTATTAAGGGTTCAAGATAAGTTCATTAATAATCATTTATTTACTTATGATACATAACATATTTAGATACTAGCATATAACTTATTACTAAGAATCGCTAAACTGTTGAACAGTTTGTTAGCGAAATCATGTCCCTGGGATGCGCCGAACTTCAGTGTTTCGGTGTTTGTATAGTTGTATCCAATGTAATTCCTGGTGTACAGGAGTTGCAGTGGTTTTGAATGTTGTGGTAGACTTGTCTCATAACAGAGAGTTCTATAGAATTGATTTTTTCGAAAACCAATCTTCAATATCTCTGGAATGTTTGATATAGTTAGATCGGTTGTGTAATTCAGTTGTATAGGCTGTTAATAAGTTTTTTGATATGAATATTTTGTTTTCCACACAGGTAACGGTACCCTAATCGGTGCCAGTTCAAACGTGGTGTGCGTCGGATTGGCAGAACAACATGGATATAAAATTACTTTCATGCAGTTCTTCAAAATTGGCTTCCCAGTCATGATAGGACACTTAGTCGTCGCTACAGCTTATTTGTTATTATGCCATTGCGTTTTCACGTGGCATTAGAGAGCTTTGATATTCTAAATATGTTTTTAATGGCTCCTCCTATCATTATCAACAGCCTATAAGAAATATTAATTGAAATCAATAAATAAGTGGCCACTGCTGAGCAAAGGCCTCTTCTCTTGCGGTTTGAGCATTAATCACCACGCTTGCTCAATGTGGGTTGGCGACTTTAAGCTAATGGATATAAATCCCACATTTCCTTTTGATGTTTTCCTTCACTGTTTGCCAGTGGTGGTGTCTAAATAATCTTAGAACGTACAGATAGCTGTATAATTATTGCTGGCTCATCCACTATTGCATGGTATTTATAACATGGTAACTATTAGTGACAAATGTGTGATTTATTGCAATTATTATGAGAGTATGTGCTTGTCCCTTTAAGGGATAAAATATTTTAAAATCAACGAAAGGTTTTTTTACGGAACAGGAGGCAAACGATCACCTGATGGTAAGCGATCAGCGTCGCTCATAGACACCTGCAATACCAGAGGAGTAACAGGTGCGTTGACGGCCTTTTAAGAAGAAATTCACACTTTTCTTGAAGGGTTGAAGGTCTTCAGAACCTGAGAATTTTATAACTTATGATAATAATGATATTTTTAATTATAACAGTCCTAGTAGCTTATAGTGTAATTGGATACTTTCAAACTAATCAAATTGTGGACAATATACGAGGTTAAAGTCGGTTCTATTGAACGTAGTTTATTGAAAATTGTCATTAATATTTTATTATATTAAAAAGTCTATATACATATGTATAACTCAAATAAGCACCGAAATATGCGTTTATGAATTAATATAGAAGTAAATTAATATATCTAATAACAAGTATATAAGAAGAAAACGTTTATATAAAGAAAAAGACAAATTTTGTGTCAGTAGTGTCTAGATAGTCTTAGAAAGATTTTATCTTCAAATAATCTTGTGCATTACGCTGTGAAGGTAAGGTTGAATTAGTTATGCTAATTATTATGTTTACATACGATTCGATGCGCTTCGTTTCTGTGCCAGTATAAACTGATTCTTTCAGTGTTCTATGTCCATAGAGTATTATGGAACTCCAAAAACAAATTAAGTATGTATTATTAATTACATGTATATTTTAAATTCAAAATAAATAGAATGGAAACCGTGACTGTTTGGGTTTTATTTTTACATATATTTGAAACATATATAATTCTAAGCCCGGTAATTTTGGCGTTATCGCAAATTTTACCTGATGAACCGTATACCGGCCAGTATCAATAGGAGTTTAGGAACCTTGTTGAAGATCGTAAATGATTTTTCCCTCAAAACGTTCGTCCTCTCCAGATCCGTTGATAAGGTTTCGAGAAATTCATCGAAAATATAACAAAATGTGTGTGTGGTCACAATAATTACCACTTACAATAGAAAATATAGAACTTTTAATACTTAAACAATAGAGGACCAGTGCTTTGTTAGCGTGGGACACTAGACCAAAGTCTTATCAGTAGATGCTTCGAAAACGTATACGAGTTTGAAGCTTGACAATGCGAAAGAAATTATTGTTTTGTGTTACTTAAACAAGATTCTCTTTGTTTTTATGGTATTTTTTTCTACAGAAAATTCATTAGTCAGAACAAGAACATGAATTTACTTCTTCTGTTACTTATTCTTAAGTATGTACTCAATTCATAACAATAAATGCACTTTACTTAAACTAAAATAATAAAACACTATTATACAACTTCATAATTCTATAATACACTTCGTTTAAAATAACCGACTACGAACCCCTCTTTTTTCGAAGTCGGTTTATTAATACACTAAAATGTTTTCCTAAGTGTACCAAACACTTTTTTGAAAACTGCATCAAAATCGGTTCACCCAATCGCGAGATAATCGCGCACAAACATACATACAGGACAATTTGAGAAACTCATTTTTTGAAGTCGGTTAAAGCTAAATTAATATTCTAAATGAAATAATTAACTAATTTTATATTAGAAATTTGTTGGATTTAATAAGAAATTAAAAGCGCAAGTTTCCTCGCAATGTTGTCCTTAATCACTAATTTCATAAACTGAGTCATTTTAAGCTCGTTACCTAAAGATAATTAATTAACTACTTAAGTACCTATCTGCTGCTGATCGATACTTATTCTACACAATTCAATTTTTTACTTTTCACTGAGTAATTGCTAGTTACTTACTAATTACTAAGATACTCGTCACATTAATTGTGAAAAGTGAGTGTTACATTGTACTGTGGCATTATGTGCCGTAATATGCACCTCTGCTTATGCCTTCGGTGATAAAAGGCGCGATGGTATATTAATTATTAAGATAATGCAAGACTATTAATACTAAAAATAGTAAAGGATTTTTTTTTATTCAGTTTATTTTGGACGGGGTTTTTATCCTAGACAGGACAACCCCATTGTATCCATCATTAGCATAGCATAACTACAACTCTAATAAAATTTTTAACTGCAAAACATCTTTGCTTTCTTTGACGTTGGGGTTGATAAAATAGTTTGCGCGATACCTACATCAAATTTATTTAGTTTAAGTGCTCCCATCAGCACCCTTCGCTCCTGACTATTTTTGACACATTCCATCAAAATATTTTGCAGATCTTCTTCAACATGGCATAATCACAATTCGGGGAGTCTACTTTTCTCATCATTTACGCAAATTTTTTTGATGGAATATGACCAGATCTTAGTCTACACAATATTCTCGTCAAGTTTCTGTTCATTTTATTCATTACAAACCATGGTATACGCATTCTTCGCAATGTTGTCCTTAATCTCTCTCTCATCACATTAATTGTGAAAAGTGGGTGTCACATTGTATAGGGGCATTATGTGCCGTAATGTGCACCTCTGCTTATGCCTTCGGCGATAAAAGGCGCGATGGTATATTAATTATTAAGATAATGCAAGACTATTAATACTAAAAATAATAAAGGAATGACACGTGTTATTTTATGGGTCTCACGGCGGGTTGTGAGTGAGTTGGAAATTACCACGCATTATCTGTGGCAGGTAGCTCTCCTTACACCAATGTTTAGCTTCGTTGAATCGTAGTTGCCGAAGAGTCATTGCTTGACTAGTCGTTGACACGAACAGTCGTCTGTCGCTCGTCGACCATTACTTAAAAATATTATTTTAGATTAAAATCATTGTGAAATATCATCATGTCTAACATGAATACTGGACATCAATTGAAGGAAAATGGAAATTCTGGCATCTCGAGAGAAAACCGGGATAGAATAAAAAATAGCCGCACGGAAGGACGCAGAAATACATCTGAGGTAAAGAACCATTTGAAAGGTGTCACTAAAAGTAAACCTTCGAGTGGAAAAATGACGAATGCCGTACCAAAAGTGAACCACAAATGCCGTACCACAAATGCTAATTCTAATCCTTTACTTCTGTTTCCCAGCGGAGAAAGACTGAAGGAATTAGACATGGCATATGAAGGAGCAATGGATCTTTTAAGGATCCTTGATGAAGATGGTGTCAACAGAAGGAAAGGTCGATCTAAACGCAAAACGGACATGCAAAACGAAGTTGACATGGCGTATGAAGGGGCCATGCAACTAATAGCAAATGAAAGTAATAGCCACATTGCGTCCCATGTTGGAAATGCTGGCCCTAGCAATGGAGGAGCTGAAGTAGGACGTGGAACACGGCATACCTCTGCCGTACCGACTAAACCAACTCCCCAGTCAAAGGGAAATTTAGTAGCACCCAATGCTGCAAATGCCTCACCTCTAATGCCCCACCCACGGCGAGGGGCATAAAATAGAATAAAATGGCGTAAGTAGCTAATGAAGGTGGTACATGATGCAGGTCGTGGAGAGCACCCTTCGTCCATTGCAGAGGAGTTGCATGGAGAATTCCAAGTGCATCCGCAATCTGAAAACAAAAGGTCCTTTTCAGGGCCAAAACATGATTCGTCGACAAACATTAGTTTATAAGACAGTTTCTATTTAACAGATGAGGTCAAAACGTACTTAACTCACCTAGGAACTTACTGTGATTACATCTTTGGAACAAACTTTCCTTATTTTAGTTTGTTATAATTTTATTTCTTAATTACTTTCTATTATTTTAGACCCTTCATTATAAAGAACTCGACCCAACAGACATTTTTGTTAAATTTAGTTTCGCACTTTAAGAGTGCATATTGTAAAAGAGAAATATTCATAAAAATATGCATCTTACACGCAACACATTAGACGTATAACTTTATGAAATGAAACATTTGAAGTTCGCATAATTTTTTTTTCTGTATATAGTTAATTTAAGTTGTCTTTTGTTTATTTTATCTCTTTATAAATTACATAATATGCTTTGTTAATAAGAATTTAAATTAAATAAATATATACAACTTAAAATATAAATAACTAACAACTGAAATATTTACACCTTAAAAAAAAATTATAATAAAAATGCTATTTTAACTCGTCGAGTATCGTCATTATAGACACAATTATAGAACAATAGGTTGCGGTCACCGGTGACCGCTTGGTGTTTGACAGTTTAAGGCATCAATAAAAAAAACTCCTCTTCGCTATCGTGAGGTAGGGTGCCCAAAAGACTGGGAGCATTGCCACGTTTAATGGCAATGCTTAACCTTTGCCCAAGGTAGTAGCCAGCCGTTCGATCACCTGAAGTGTCAACCATCCTCCTTATAATATCTTTGGAAAGAAGATCTGCACTTGGGCCCACAGCCCTAAAGTTTCAACCCCAAACAGTTTGAAAGCATAATTGCCAATCAGGCTATTATACTTTCGCCGTTTGAGGTTCTCGGCAGCTGCAGCGGCAGCACCGGCTCGACACGTTGAGCTTGGAAGATGGGATGGCGCCAGAGTATCAACGCAAGTGGCGTCTCATACTAAAGGCCTACCCATCTTCCAAGGGAATAATGACATGCCATCGGGTCTCTTGCCATCGTCGCGTACCAAGCCATTAGGTACTAAGAGCACTCTCCCCCATCCAGAGTCACCCAAACGGTCTTTGCGTACTACTACATAGTGCGATGAAGACAGTCACCATTACATATGGAACTATTTAAACTGTTAAACACCAAGCGGTCACCGG